ACTGAGGTGTCGTTTGCATAAAGCGCACTGGCAGAATCATATCTCATGTGAGCTCTCACACTTTAGTTCTGGATGTTTTCGTTGTAGCCGCGCATGTAAATTGTCGCATCAGAGACAACTAACATTTACTGTAGGAAGCGCCACTTCAGCCAAGTACTCTTCCCTTGTAAGAAGCATTCAAATTGTTTGCCAAGTGTCACGAACCAGTCCAAATGCTTGTCTAGTGGGGTAGATGCGCTATGTAGTTGTTTGGATTTTGAAGCAAATCATTTGAAAGGAGGATGTTCCACTGGGAAGATGGATGTGAATTGCAGGACTGTTGGCTGATGACAACAAGTTTGGATTCATTATTATGGATGGTAACGGCACGCTGTTTGGAACACTCCAAGGGAATACCCGTGAAGTTCTGCATAAATTTACGGTTGATTTACCAAAGAAACACGGTTAGTTAGAGCTATTTATACATACCTCAAGGGAACAGCACATTTCTTTTAAGGTAGAGGAGGACAGTCCGCCCTACGTTTTGCTCGTCTGCGAATGGAGAAGCGACATAATTATGTCCGTAAGGTTGCCGAATGTGCCGTGGAAATGTTCATCAAAAATGACAAAGTATGTCTCAAATCATTCAGTCCGCCTAAATATAGCAGTATCTTATGAACTGTGAGTATAGGTCACTGTTGCTGGCTTGATACTGGCTGGTAGTGCCGATTTCAAGACGGAACTTGGACAATCTGATATGTTTGATCAGGTGGGTTGTTGAATGGTCCTATCTACCAAAGCCTCATCCATGTATGCATATAGGATTGAAACCTAACCGCGTTAAAATGGGTATATAATTTGTTTATGTATACTACGAGTCTGTCAGTTTTACTTTGTTAAGTTACAATTTTACAGCGATTGCAAGCGAAGATGGTAAAGACGGTTGATATATCTTATGGAGGCGAGAACGGCTTCAACCAGGTCACTTACTGAAAAGGTTCTGCATTTTTTGTTGTCGTATCAGCTTTTGAATTTTCAGGCTATCGAGCTTGCTGCTGATGCTCTTGCAAACGTCAAGTTCATCCAAGAGAAAAAGCTCATTGGAGGCTATTTTGATGAGATCAGTCAGGTAAGATTATACCTGTTATTCAGTGCAAGACTGCACTTGCTGCTTTAGGACACTGGGAAGTATGTATTTGGAGTAAAGGACACTCTACAAGCACTTGAAATGGGTGCCGTGGAAACGCTCATCTGTTGGGAGAACCTTGATATTATTCGATACCGACTAAAGAATGCGGCTGGAGGTAAGTAGCAGCAATTGAGAGGTGCGGTAGCTGTCTTGTTATTTTCTGTGTTCCCTTATGAAGCTATCGATGCGGCAAGATAATCAGATGAGCTTCACGGGCGGTAATGCAATCCTCTGTATGAAATACCAATTTCCAACCACAAAGAATTTTTCGGATGGCGAGAATTTGTTCCTTATCAAAGCGAGAATTTGTTCCTTATCAAATTCTATTTTCAAAATTGCTATAAGCAAGAGGCGCTGTGGTCATACATGTGTACCCTACGAAAATGTTCTATTCCAAGTGTGGAGATGAGCGAAAGCAAAATCATTACTGCTATTTTTTGTGCTGATTGCTTCATCTAGCGACGAGGGAATAATAGCACAAGTTTGGGTTTATCTATTTTCTGGACAATTTTTTTTTTCAGAGGAGAAGATTCTTAACCTTAGACCCGACGAGGAGAAAGATAAGACTCATTTCACTGACAAGGAAACTGGGCAGGATATGGAAATTGTGGAAACGATGCCTCTTCTTGAATGGTTTGCCAACAATTATAAGGTGCGTCCAAGCTTTACTATC